CCACCAAACCCCGGCCAAGGCTCTGAGTAAGGATACTGAGCGTTCACACCTACCAACTACGGTGTTTATGTGGTCCACCCCAGACATCTTTGAGTCGAGATAAACTCCCAAAAATCTAACACTGCTTTTGATCGGGATAGCCTGACCGTCTATCTCTATACAAACATCCGGAGTGCGTCGTTTGCGTGTAAAAATAATAGCTGAGCTTTTTGGGGCGCTTAAAGATAACCCGTGATTAAGTAGCCATTGGTTTAATGAGGCTAAAGAGACATTGATGGAGTGAGCAGCGTCTGTTATAGAGCTGTTGGTAACCATTAGTGCGATATCGTCAGCATACTGAAGGACATTACAGTTAAAATTTAAACAGGAGGGGAGGTCATATGTATAAATATTATAAAGGATGGGACTAAGGACTGACCCCTGAGGTAAACCTTTCCAGGAGGACCTCTGTACTGGGTTATCCTCAGGAGTTCTCAATTGGAGGGTACGATCGGAAAGGATGCAGCCTATTATTCGGCAGATTCTACTCGGGATTCTCAGCTGTTGCAGTTTTTGCCTGAGAAGGGGTAAGAGGACAGAATCATAGGCCGCTGAGATGTCCAAGAAAACCGCGACCAACGACTCCTGCCTGCTAAGGGCCAGTCGGGCGGCTGACGTGAGAGTACCTACACTGTCAGCCGTACCCAGACCTTTCCTGAAGCCGAACTGAGTCGCCGGAAGCAGCCTCCGGCTTTCTACCAACCATTCAAGGCGGTTTTTGATGAGGTGTTCAAATGATTTAATGAGTATGGACGATAAGGCAATAGGTCTGTACGACGAATGGTCACCAGGATCTTTGCCAGGTTTTAACAGCGGCATAATAACCTGAACCTTCCATGTAGGAGGAATATAGCCTGACGCAAAGCAAAAATTGACTAAGTCAAGGTAGTACTGTTTCGTTTTGGTTCCTGCCTTAGTTAAGAAGGAGTAGGGGAACCCATCAATTCCTGGTGCCGAGTCCTTTACATGATTGAGCACAGTTTGGAGTTCTTCAAATGAAAACTCCAAATCGAGCGTATCACGAATCTCGGGTCTCTCGATCTCATAGGAACTCAGGCAGCATTCATCTGCACTAGGAACGTATGTTGGGGCAATACTATTAAGAAAATTGTTATTCAGAGATTCGGGTAAAGTGGAGATAGAGGGAGGTTTGGTGGAGTTCCTAAAATTTTTTACTCTCTGCCAAACTGTGGATATTGGTGTGGATGGGCTTAGGGAACCACAAAATCTCTGCCACCCTTGTCTTTTCTTTTTTTTGAACAATTTTCTTGACTTAGCCAAAATTCGCTTGAAACTTAGGAGATTTTCCAGGTTCATACCTTGGTTATATGTCTTTTCAGCTTCATTCCTAGCTCTTATCATGGCAGTGCATTCACTATCCCACCATGGAGGGGAAGGAATTTTGCCTTTTGGTGTGCTTTTCACCGGAAAGCAGTCTTCACCTGTAGAAGCTATCAGGTCCGAAAATTTAGAAAAGCACTCCAATGCATTCTCGGTATTTACTGGTGGAAGGGAAGAAATACGGTGGTCTAATAGTTTTGAAAAAAGATCCCAGTCTGCTGAATTTAAACGATATTTTAATAGGGGGGGAAGGGGTTTATCTGGAATGGATTTTGAATGATTTTTAATTATGATGGGATAGTGGTCACTACCATAGGACAAATTTAAACAACTCCAGTTTAGCATGCCAGCCATAGCAGGCGAGCAGAAGGTCAAGTCTACACAGCTGTTTCTTTGACCAAATGCAGACCTACGAGTAGGGCTGCCATCATTAATGACACACAAGTCGAGCTCGTCCAGCATCTCCACTAATTCATTACCCATTAGATCGCATATATCTGAACCCCATCTATAATGGTGGCAGTTGAAGTCACCCATTATAAGCAATGGGCCACTTACCACGGATAACAAATTTTTAATTAACCTAATGTGATCAACATGAGGGTGTGCAATATAAAATACAAATATATTTATGTCCTCAGCCTTAACAGCGACAACATTTATGTCATCGCCAACGAAGGGTAGAGGGATCTGGGTGAAGGGCACTTTGTTATTAACTAACAAAGCACAACCTCCATAACCATCAGATCTGTCATGTCTGACAACACTGAAACACGGGATCCCGAAATTAATATTGGGTCGAAGCCATGTCTCAGCAATGCCACAAATCGATGGTTTAAATTTATTAATCAAGTGGAGTAAGTCACTCTTCCTGGGAAGATTACTCCTCACGTTCCACTGAAGCAGTGTTAGAGGTAGGAATTTTACAAATATAGTCTAAAATTGTAGAAAGCTTGTGTGCCACGTGGTCAGGTACATTTTGGGCAGGGTTTGATAGGACTGCCATGAGCATATCAGAAACTATATGTAGTATGTGTTTGGAGCTACGAATGTTGGTTCCGGATTCCATAGGGAAAGCGCAACCATTTTTGGATGGGGAGTAAGAGTAGTCCTGGATAAGGGCCTGATGGGCCTTCTTATCATAGCTGGGGGGAAGGGGAGCATTTGCCTTAGGTTTGAGATGAACTGTTTTTTTATAGGACACTCTTTGTTGGGATGGTGATTTATTAGGAGACGAATCTATAAGGTTGACTGATCTTGAAACCTCAGCATAAGACCTTTTAACGGTTGGGAAAACTTGGCTTGCTTCCATATATGAAATAGATTTTTCTGCCATCAAAGCTTTGATGCTCTTTTGGCGTCCTAATTCAGGGCAAGCTTTGTCATTGGCAAAGTGGTTGCCATTACAATTAATACAATAGGCAGTATCGGCTGAAGTCTGGCATCCATCACCTGGATGATCCTGCCCACACCTGAAACAACGCGGCTTCGAGCGGCAGAGATTGCGGGTGTGTCCAAAACGACAACAGTGATAACATTGTATGGTAGGATACGCATACAGTTCTACCGGAAGTGCTGAGTAAAAGCAAAATACCTTTTTGGGTAGGGTTTGACCATCGAAAGTTAGCACTACAGTTTGCGTAGGCTTCCATTCAGTACCGTTGATTGAAGTGATTCTACGATTCATCCTCCTTGCCTTTATGACTGCCCCACAGCCTGCGGGAACCTTGATATTTCCAATGATTTCGTCCTCTGTCCATTCAACAGGGACGTCCCTCACAATACCCATTCGCGTTACATTGAATTGAGGGATTGAGGTAACATAGCTTTGAGCCACCATACCATTCACCAAGAAGCTATTTGCATCCTGGTGCGACACAAACTCAACTGAAACTCGGTTCCTTCCCAGCCGTTTAACACCACCGCTCTTAACATTGTTAATGTTTTGTTTCATCAGAAACATTCCGAACTTAACCGGGTGTAGTGTGGTGCCAGACGTTTGAGAGTCCTTAAGGGACACATATACTACATAAGGAGGGTTATCCCTGGCCGTATAACACTGTCTACCATATACACTTTTCGCCAGTTTTGGAGGATTATTCATGGAGATAGGAGGGGAGCCTGCATGTCGTTTCCGACTGTTGGTAGGTTCTAAGTCCATTCTTTCAAAATTTGGTGTATTGGGAGGAAGAGTAATGGTCACAATTGTTTCTGTTTCGTATTCCGGCGATTTATCGGGAGGATCGGGTGGCTTCTCTTCGTCCATTTTGGGGATAAAAAGTAGGAAGAGGAAACAAGTGGAAAAACTTACTTAAAACTACCAATACCGAGATAAAACTTACGGACACAGTTAATTAGACAACACGACAACACAGAACTTAAAAGATTTCAGTTCACACTGAGGGAATCACTAAAATAGTCAACAAACGTAGGAAAACGACAAAAGCACGTGCGTAACCTTCACCGCTACCAACGAAAAAAAAAACTTTTGAACCTATAATTGGCGACTGTATAAGCCCAACACCTATTGTTACCTTTGTTATATCTTAATACTATGTATACAGAAGCTGTTGGTTTACTATTTAAATAAATAAATATATAAAAAATTGTCTATTAATATCAAGACAAGGTTTGTACGGAAGTTACCTACATCTGACTAATTCACCGGGACATAGGGACACCTGAGTAACGCTGGGCTAGTCTCTAGTATAAAATCATCGTCAACAGCGTACAAGCCACTTTTAACCAAATGCCTCTTCTCAAACGGAGAAAGTTTGAGCATTAATCACCACGCTTGCTCAATGCAAAGTGATTTTAAACTTATAATTAGAAATTATAAGTCCAGGTTTCCTCACGATGTTTTCCTGCACCGTTTGTCAGTGGTGTCTAAATAATTTTAGAAAGTACATATAACTTGGAAACTATCACATTGGTGGAGTCCTTATAGGTTTCGAACCTGGAAAAAGAGGTTTCGCACCCGCACTCCCATGCATGAGAAGCGGTCGTATAAAATAATTTACTTTATTGATTAACATAACATAAGATTACACCTTTTATCCCCGAAGGGGTAGACAGAGGTGTACATTACGGCACTTAATGCCACTGTACATTGTGACACCCTCTTTTCACTATTTATGTTATGAGTCCCATGTAATAGGGGGTGAGGCTATTGCCATATACCGGGCACAATTCCAGACTCTGTGCTACTACTGAGATTTTTTGAATAAGTCCAGTAATACTTTGCCCGACCCGGGAATCGAATCCGAGACCTCTTGCACGGCAGTCGTAATTGCGACCATTCGGCCAACGAAGCAGTTTATTGATTAGTAAATGCATATTTCTTTTTATTGTACGTAGGAGACCGGACGCATAGCATGATAATTTAAAATAATAATTTAGGAAACTACCCTTCTAGTATCCATGGTACTAGGTTCTAGGGACAGAATTTTTCAGGTAACCGTTAAAATCCCCTAAGTAGTTACTATAGTTGCTCGGTAGTCGCACTTCCAACAACTCGAGTTGAAAGTAAAAAAAATACGATATATTTTCTGTTTCAAGCATATTATGTCGTATTACGTCCGATCTCCTTAACTAAAGCTAGCGTAATGATAATGTCAAACCTGTTGTCAAATGGAAGCAGTTCGCTTTCGAATTTGTTCTCAAACCTAAAATGATACGAAAATGATATAAAAATGACATAATCATGATTATTCTAAGATATGACAATATAGAATATACATATAAATAGGTTGAGATACAAAAATAGGGATATGCATCTTAGGGCTGATTTTTCCAACGACAGACAGATTTTATCTGTGGAATAATCTTACACAGGGTGGAATTTTGTAATGCCAACTGAAGGAGAAGTACTCTTAATACTTTAGATAGAAAATTTAACTCAAAGAAAACATTCCTTTATTTTTGAAAAGAAACAAAACTGCATTCAATGATTTTTACAAAATTAGCTTGCCGCACTGGGTAGTCGAAGCGACTAAAATCTGTCAAAGTTTGCACCCTCGGTTATAAAACATCTCGCTACGACCAATAGGAGCCGAGCAGAGCGGGTATAACCACATTGGAGTAGCTCATTTTGAGCATTTGACAATTCATCCATTCTAAAAACTGACAATTTTTTTCATGGGCTAAGTCAATAAACGAACAGATGGATCGCCTGATGGTTAGCAATCAGCGTCGCCCATGGATACCTGGAATACCAGAGGCGTTACAAGTGCGTTACCGGCCTTTTGGGGATCACAAATTTGAGGATTGTTGGGGATTCACCTTACTACGCAACGCAATTGTTATTTCATTGTAGTTTTTTGCTCGATCGTGGTATCACTCCGGTCGAGCCGGCCCATTCGTGCCGAAGCATGGCTCTCCCATTTTACAGTTAAGAAATATCTGTCGATTGAAAAATCAGCCCTTAGACGTAATACGACTTTCATCACTTATGTTATGAGATCATGTAATATGGTGACCTTGAAAAAAAATCAAATACGAAGCAAATCTCAAAACACTGTTCAATCCAGGATTCGAACCTGAGGTTCTCTATAAAATGTAACATTAAATATATCTTATTATGGAGAGAGCAAAGAGTTTAGCAGAATTTCTAAAAAGTTTCCACTGAAAATTTTACAGCTGAGATGGCGCCACTATAGCCAAAATGTCATTTCAAAATTGTAAGTTTGCCTGCTTGAAATTAGTTTAAAATATTAATATTTGAAATATTATCACGTTTATAACTAAACTCTTTTACTCTCCATACTTATAGAACTGACATACATACATATTATTATATATTTAGCAACTAACGCAAAATTATGAATGTCGGCGGTGAAGCGTCACTTCGCTTTGGATAACAGTTACATATTTGTACATATATTTTGCCTGAGTACTGTTTTGTTTTACATAAAATTTTATGCTCTGTCCACACGCTTGATATTTGTCAGAAATAATAAACACAACAATTTAAGTCCCGAACATCGATGTGTGTTGTGTATGGCAACATCGCAAACTGTTTGCCGAACAGCCTTTAATCTGTTTGTGTTCGCCACTGTATCGGTGTCGAACTAGAATCGGCACACACATTCTAACACAGATTCACATGTTCGGGTTTGGTATTTGTTGTCTGCAATTGGGTACTTTCCTTAATCAAAAAAAATTATTCAAACTGTTCAATACAATAAAATATTAAAAAATAATCACACTTTCATTCATTGTTTTTATGACCAACTTAATTTTAGTATTTCTACAGCAAATTTTAAAGAACTAAGTATGGTGTTTGACGCTAAAAAAACGTGACGTCACAATACACAATCTCGTACAAAATTTATAGAATACTGTCGTTTTTGACAGACCGAAAAAGTATTGAATTTGACTAGTTGGCGAGTACCCAATTATTTTCTAAGCGTGCAGAACAAGAACATGCACCAATAAGAGCTCACTGACACTCCACCGCCATTTTGATTTACGATTTGACAGATACACATAACCTAAAAAAACAAATAAGATAATCTCAAATCTCTAAGTACCCAATCGCATTTCCCTTGATGACTTCAGACTGAGTTTCAAACATTTCTTTGATCATCTGCTCATCATACACATCTTGGGTTTTCCTCCAGCGTCTACCACCAGGTAGGACGACGGCAAGAGTCTGATCTGGGTCCAGAGGTCCGAAGACGCGTTTCGGCTTTGATGCCCGTGGCGTAGGATGTTGCTTGACCAGACGAGATTCATGTTCTATTCTTGCTTGTTCCTATATTTGCGGTGAAAATTGGTGAAGGTATTTTGACAAAATTACAAAATTAAATAATAAATTAAGATCCAATCATTATAATAAGAATCTTTTAAGAATTATAATATTTGATTTTTCAAACCTTCCTAGTTATCAAGTAAGAAAATATGTAAAAAATTAATATAAATTCACGGGTAAATCAGTACATAATCTAATCACAAAATTACTTCAGAAAATGAATTGATAAATCGAAGCAATATCCTTTTGACTGATAGGTATAGGTAACAGCATATTTTATTTTTATAATTGATGGGGCGACGTTTGACCACTATCTTGCCTGGTGATTACCGATGATGCGGTCTACGATGGAGGACGTCGACCCACAAGCAATTACACTACACGAAAATTACAGTAAAATTGCGAATTATTTTATTAATTATTAAACATTTATCAAAACAACATAATGTTCATCTTAAAGACCATTTTCCACTTAAATGAAGATCATAATTTTCTACTATCATATGAAAATCCCTCTATAAAAGAATAAATGTGTTCAGCACCTACCTTCCTCTGCTTTTCATTTCTTATTTCTTCTTCTGTCATAACAGGAGTCATTCTTGCGATATTCTGCTGTTCTTGTTGAATTCTTTGTTCATTCTCCTGATTGGCTACTTCTTCTATCGTTACCTTCTGTTCAGCTTCTTCATTCTTCGTTTCTTCGTTCTTCTGCACTTCATTCTGCACTGCTTCTACGTTGTTCTCATTCACTTCCTGAATGGTTTGCATTTCATGGTTTTGTGTAGCTGTTGGGAATTGAGAGGGTCAGTAAAAATACATATTTAAAAATTAAATTGCAATGCACCAAAAGAGTAGAAAGAATTTGGGTAAAACGACTACTAGGCTGTGTTTTCTAGTACCGTCAATAGAAACAGTTTGGTCGTGATTGCATGGAGGTTTAGACTGCCGTTGCTTATACACGAGAGGTTTGAAATCGACCAACGGCAAGTACCATTGAGACTTTTTTCGAGTTATATGTACTTTCTAAGATTATTTAGACACCACTGAAAAACAGTGAAGGAAAACAACGTGAGGAAACCTGGACTTATAATTTTTAATTATAAGTTTGAAATCGCCAACCCGCATTGAGCTCGCGTCGCGATTAATGCTCAAACCTTCTCCGTGTGAGAAGAGGTTTTTGGTCAGCAGTGACCACTTATGGGCTATTGATGGTGAATTTTGAAGCCAAATAAATCCTATTGCGCTTAAAGCGGACTCAGGACTTGAACCTGAAACGCTCATTCAATATATGGAAGAATAAATCCCCAATTTTGTGGTTAACGTCTTTAAATCTTAGAGCATAGTTAAATTTACCTGCGCCTTTAGCCAAACGCCACTTTAGCGCTTGTCTACAGAGAGAGTAGAAAACAAAATGTACGGGGATGACACTGACAAGTGTCAAAATTTACGTCAATTCCATATAATTTGGTTTTCTATTCTACATGTAGACAAGCGTTAAATGGCATTTGGCTACAGCTGTAGGATAGATGAAAGAAATAATGTACCTTCAACCTGTTGATAGCTTTGTTCTTCAGAATGCGAAACCTCCATATGGACTTCCTGTAAAGAGAAAAATTAATTTATTGACAACCGCACTGGTGAATATGGCGACTTGATTTTGTATTCTGAACTCAAGGACGTTGAATATAGGCGGACATAATTTCATTTAGAGATGATTGAAGCACCAATATGTCAGTGGGTTATCTATGTGTGCGTGTGTAATGTGTTACCACGATACCAGACTTAAGAAAATGCCAGATGTCCTTCGTGTCAATGTGTGTATGTTCTGGGTGTAAGTCTACAGTAGCCTGGTGCCACAGTCGTTGTTTCGAGAGACTATGTCCGCCTTTTATTCAACATTTTTGTCTGGATTACAATTATTAGAACATTCGTAGAATAAGGATAGCATTTGTATAATAGAATATGTGTGGAAGAGCCATGCTTCGGCACGAATGGGCAATAACAACCAGTTTATCGATGTTATCTGACTGGCGGCGGGCAATGTGACCGAAATATCTAAGCATTCGCTGGTAACATACGGTCGACAGTCTAGTCTTTATATTGAGCTGTTCCAGGATTGACCTATTAGTTCGTCTGGTAGTCCATGGTATCCGGAGTATTCTTCACCAACACCACATTTCGAGAGCATCTATCTTTTTGCGATCTAAGGCTCTAATAGTCCACGACTCTGCACCATAGAGGAAGATAAAAAAATAATAAAAAAAAAACAATGTCTGAACTAGTCTCTTTTGGTGATGTTGGAGATGTTTCTATTTTGCCATGTACGTGTCATTTTGCTCATTGCCGGCATTACGGCAATGAGTATTTTGTTTACCTGATGGGAAATCTTGGTGAGCTGTTTGGAGACCATTTCCAGGGATTGTTGGATCACCTCCGGAAGCTGAGCAAGCGCTGCAAGCTGAGCTCGCATCTGGGCTAGTTGTTGATCTAGGCTGGCGTTTGGATCTGGAGAAAAATGGGAATATTATGATATTTGTTCTCTAAAGACGAAATCAGCGTTTGTATTATTCATAAGGAACAAGAAACTAGTAGTTTTTGTCTACCATGGGATGAATGCGTACCTATGATAATTACTGTGGCTGAGACTACTTCGTTGGCCGAGTGTTAGCAAATGCGACTGCCAGGCAACGGGTCTCGGGTTCGATTTCCAGATCGGGCAAAACATTACTAGGTTTTTAAACAAAAGAAATTCTCAATAGTAGCACGAAATCGGGAATTGTGCCCGGTAAATGGCAATAGGCTCACCCCCAATTAATGGGACTCATAACACAATATAGTGAAAAGTGGGAGTTACATTGTACAGTGGCATTAAGTGCCGTAATGTACACCTCTGCGTACCTCTCTGGGGATAAAAGGCGTGATGTTATATTATGTTGTACAAAAAGCACCTACTGGATCAATAAACCTTCTTCTGTCTACTTACCAACCATCCCTTGTACGCTTTTCACTAACTGTTGCGCCATTCTATTCTCCATCTCTTCTCTTGTCTCTTCTCTCTCTTCTTTCAATTCTGGGACAACTTCTGGTTCTTCTTCTTGTGCTTCTGCTATCGGTTCCGGTTCTGGTTGCTTCTCTTCTATGACTGGTGGAGGAGTTGGTTCTTTTGGTGGCGGAAGGGGTATACCTGTTGAAATTATGGAATTCAGTATGCATAACATTTGAGTGACCATAAAAGTTCATGGTGTAAAACTGCCTCATTCGCTGAGTGGTTGCAGACTGCAAATGTGCCCGGTTTATGGCAATAGGCTCACCCGCTATTACATGGGACTCATAACATAAATAGTGAAACGTGGGTGTTACATTGAACAGTGGCATTAAGTGCCGTAATGTGCACCTCAGCCTACCCCTTCAGGGTTAAAGGCGTGATGATATTTTATTTTGTCAAATAATTTAGATGATATCAATTAGGAGTCTAACTGTAAAAGCTCTTATGAACAGCAAGTACCTTGTAACTCATGTCGGAATTTTCTCTATTAGATACCGCAACCTTGTTTGTTGACGATCAAAATTGCTTTTCTGGTGTAATTGAAATAAATGATTTTGACTTTGACATTGTGTGGGAGCATCTTTACGCTTCAACAAGTTTGAAACCTCACCTGTCTCTTCAAGATCAGGAACCTCGCTCTCCTTCAAAGGGTCGACAGCCTCCAGAAACTCCGGTACCTCTGGAATGAGGATAGGTTCCTCCGGCTCTACAGGAGGGCGAGAGGACTCAGTTGCCGCGCGTTCCTCCCAGGGCAGAGGACCAGTTTCAAAGTCCTGTGGAGAAGAATTGAGGGGATGATGGTGGTATGTACATGGTGTGGGGGGAAAATTTGTCATAGATATGTGACAATGAAAGATATTTTATATAGGTATTGAGTTGTAACAATCACATACACAAAGACAAGTTAGATGATAAGTTCAATGACAACGCCATCTACACAACAAAAAAGTCATATTGAAACTTTTTTGATTAAATATACTGAACTAGCTTTTGCCCGCGACTTTGTTCGCGTGGAATAGTGACTTTCGGAAGATTTTTGGTTTTGCCCACATATGCAGTTCCCGATCTCGCAGGATTTTTTAGAAGTTCCCGGTTCCGCGGGATTTTCGGCATTTAATCTATCCTATGTCCTTTCTCGAGTACCAAACTACCTATGTCTGTACCAAATTTCACACAAATCGATTCCGTAGTTTAGGCGTAAAGAACATACAGACAGACAGTCAGACAGTTCCTTTCGCATTTATAAAATTAGTTTGGATAGAAAAATTGGTCGGTGTAGAAAAAATATAGTCGACATATGTGTTGACTCAAGACTTATAGAGGATGTAAACGTATTGCTCCTGAAACACGCCAACAGGTGACGGTAAAAAAACGAGTAAATATTTCATAAAAGTAAGTTTTAATGTTTCTTTTTTTTAATGGGATAAGCCCGCCACAACCATCCAAACCCGCTGCAACTCCTGTAAGCCAGGATCTACAGTAGATACAACCATGAAAACACTGGAACACTGAAGTCCAACGTTCCAGGGACATTAATAACTGTCTTGGTTCCCGCAACGAAGTGAATCAGAAGATATTATAAGAGGAGAAGAAGAAAAATGTTTATTTTATGTAGTAATAGTTGTAGTCAACTGCTCAAGGCTGATGTTATATGAATGACACGAAAACAAAAACGATTTATTTTTCTCAGCATTTCGAGAGCATTCCGTTTAAGCCCTGTATATTATTTATATTTAACCGACTTCAATATAAAAAAAATATAAAAACTTCAAAAAAAGAAGGTGAAGTCGATTGTTTCAAATGTGTCTAGTTTATAAAATAATTATTACTAACTAGCTTCTGCCCGCGACTTCGTACGCACAATCCCGTTTTCTCCCGTCCCCATAAGATATTCAAAATTTTTTTGTATCATAAGAACCTTCTACTGACAATAACAAACACAACAAAAAAATTCAGCCAAATCGGTCTAGCCATTCTCAAGTTATGGCGTGACAACGGGAAACGGGTTTCATTTCTGTATATATAGACTATTGTAACACCTTGACATTGTTAAAATGAAAAAAAAATGTTCTATATCTACTAACACATACACAGGATACATAAAAGTAGGTTTATCAACATATAAATGATTAATTTGTATGACAAACATAAAATGTATTTGGATAGACAAGTGCTTCTCGATATTCGTTTCGTATATCATCGTAACGATTAACATTAAATATCACGGAAATATAACACGATACTCGATATAACCGTAACGATCAAATTGATTAAAATAGAATCATGACACCGATCGGCATTTGTCTAAATTTGCAGATTTTTTTATATTTTTGTATTTTTTTGGAAAACGTTGCCCCACATTAGGATTTTCTCCTATGTCGTGTGTGCGTTTACAAACATACAAGTTCATATACACATGACATGACAACCAGACCCGAAACAACAATCTGTGGATCACACAAAGTGTTGCTCCGTGCGGGAATCGAACCCGCGACAGGTTGCACGGTAGCCAGTTGCCCAGCCACCGCACCAACCGTGCAGTCAAAGTCAATTGATAACAAATAAATGAATATTCATTCATGTTTGCGATCAATGAAAACCAATGTTAAAATTAAATATATCAAAGGAGAATAGAACATTCACTATATGTTTATAATAAACAAACACACAAACAAACTACTTTATCAGCTGAAAATCCTGAAATTACGTTCAGAACTATAAAAAAGTTTCAGATTATACAAGGTGTTGTTTTAAAGCCGCGTCATTTTCTAGGAGGTAACTCGGCTATCAATAAAAAAATTGTAGGTAAATATTTTTCATTTTTCTGTAAATTACAGAAATCCGTAAGTGAGAACTACACGCTGCTGTCTTGTAGTTACCTAACTAGTTTTGTAACGCGACTCTACACACACAAACTCAAACACGTAATTAATATTATTCCTAATTCCATAAAACTCCAATAAGAAACATTACTGTCGCTTATTCTGAAATACTGTCGAACTTAAACGATTTATTATAGCCGTATTTTTAACTATTGGCCCGAAACTTTCTCTTACATTGAACCTTTATGACTTCTGTGACATGCCCCCGAGAAATGACACGGTTTCAAAACTACACCTTGTATATACTACCTTTAGTTTATACAAAGAAAACAAATAAATTACAGAGTTTATCATAAATATTCATTTATTTATAATTATATAGTCAAGTATTAATAAATTATTAAAAACAGTCCCATACAAAACACATGGATTTTAATAGGGTAGTTTCCTAAATTTAATTTTAATGTGTGTCTAGTACATTAATTTAAAACTTTAAACACGTATTTTTTCTTTTCTCACAAAATTAAATACTTTCGACAATATATTAATTTGAAATATCGTGTGACGTCACAGCGTGTCACATTTTGTAGCACGTTATGACGTAACGGCCTCCCACTCCTACACTTAGCGCCATTTTATCTAAGTATTGCAACTTAATACGAGAAAATAAAAAAATACGTGTCTAATATTTTTTCATTATCTAACTGACGGACTAATTAGATTTTTAATTTTGATACCATGGAAACTACCCAATTAAAAAGGTTTACAACGATTAATTAACATCGTTATTCAATCATTGTTAAAAAAGGGCTCACATCGATTGATTTCAAGAAGTTAATTGATAAAATGTTAAAAAGCAAAACATTATAAAAATGTTCAAATTAAGCTACATTCTCAAACGATTTATTAGTGTTATATATCTATTAGAAATAAGTAAAGGAGAGTAAATTGGCAGTATAGTTAGAGGAAATTATTGTTAACAAATATCAAAATAGATATTTAAATCAATATTATAATTAAAAGCATTAAGGGAATTCATTAGACAATCTAAATAAAATTATTGACAACGAATTATTAAATATTGGTTAAATAAATAAATAACTTTAAATAAACTGCAAAAATATTATAAGTACCTAACAATATTAAACCAGTATATCCAGACCTCTCCGAAGTAAGGCATTTTATTGAGTAAGCGAGATGCCATTAAGCACGTACTAATGCGATGGAAAGAGACAGACTTATTTCGTTACACACTTCAGAGAGGTCAAGATATATTGGTTCCTATTATTATTATTTATACCTCTGGTTTATAATCAGGAGCTACTTTAGGTTTAGCTTGTTTCACTATTTTCACTTTGTATGGTTCCTGAAACAAATATAAATAAAATTTTATTAAGCATTTTATTGACTGCCGCAAGTCGTCGCAAGTGCGATTGCCGGGCAAGAGGTATCGGGTTTGATTCTCAGGTCAGGCAAAGTGTTACTGGGTTCTTAAAAAAAATCACGGATACTATCACGGTTATCGCAGAGTCCAGAATTGTGCACGGTATATGATAATAGGCTCAGCCCCTATTACATGGGACTTCTAACATAAATAGTGAAAAGTGGGTGCTACATTGTACAGTGACATTAATTGCCGTAGTGTGCTCCTCTGCCTACCCCTTTGGGGGTAAAGGTGTGATATTATGTTATTCATTAAGCACAATTTTTGAAATAACTATTATCGTAATAGAGACCACGATAATGATGTTTTCTAAATGTAGTCCCATATTAGGACTGACTAGACTATGTCGTAGATGAATTCACAAATACAAATTCTACCGTATATACTATACTGATAGCTGTTGCCCACAACTTCGTTCGTGTAGAATATAATTTCAAGAACATAAGTTTTTTTTTGTTTTAGATAGCCAAAATAAAAGTATCCAATGTTACTCCTTAGGACATCAGCTATCTGCCAATAAAAGGCTTGCAAAATCGATCCATCCATTCCAGAAATTACCCAGAACAAACAGACAGACCAAAATTGGAAAAAATATTATTGAGGTATGTGGATCGTATGCATATTGATATACATATAGTAAAATGCGGTTATTTTAAACTGTCAAACACCAAGTGGTCACCGGTGACCGCAACCTATTGTTCTATAATTGTGTCTACAAAACCAGTACTCGACGAGTTAATATTACAAACAGACACCCCAATTTTATTTATCAGTAGATATATCATACCAAAGTAAGGTTTATTTTGTGCTAAAAATGTTTTCACAATTATTTTTAAAGTTTATCTGACCGTCCATAAGTATACTCCACTTTAACTTCTGATATTACCTCAAAGACTAGACAGATCTTTTTTTAATTTATTATATAAACTAAATATAAAATGTTAACCAAAATAAAATATTTTGTTTCCTTAAAATACTGTTAATTTTTTTTATTTGTAGAGTTAAATCCCTAAATAAATAAAAATATCCCTATAATGGAAGCTTTTAAACAATTTCTATCAAGTACATTTACTATCAATGTCCACTATCAAAACATACAACAATCTCACATAAACAAAAACGACACATTCTACTCTAAAACACAACAAATCAACAGAAAACAAGTTATACCCATATAATCAATATAGCAACCACGATAATAGCTATAACGATAAGCGATATACACATAACGATCAATCGTTAAACTAAAAAATAACGGAGAAACTCACTATGGGAACTCGCGGCGCGTGTTACCCCGACAAGAGTCGGAACAGAACTGATTTTTTCGGACTAAATTGTTGGGAAGATAACGCAAGTATAACATTGAATGTTAGCCAAAAATAATTATATTTATTATCAATATATAGGAAGTGTTTTGAGAACACGGAAGTGATTGAAAATAGACATTGATTACTCAATGTTTGGCTTTGAAATTGAGTTATTTATTGATGTGTTGACAAGGTGGGAAGACCAATAATGAAATATTGGGTATTTAAGTATGGGTACTTCATTCATTTATGAAGTCTAAAGCTTCTATCAGCGTCTTCACTCTCATTTCCGTGGGGTAAAAAATGGCTTGTATTAGCCCTGTCGTTTTTTATATTTGATGGGCCGACGTTTTCCCACTATCTCGCCTGTTGATAAGCGATGACGCGGTCTACGATGGAGCACGTCGTCCCATAAGCAACCTATTCACTCAGCCTTGAAGACACCCAGGTTATATCTTCAGGAAACACAGACTCTGGCAAAGAATTCAACTCCTTAGCTGTAAGCATAGGAAGCTTGAAGCGAAGCGCTTTGTGCATGTGGGACGCTTCGCCGATTGTCTTGTGATACGATGATGGAAAAGACAAGGGGGAATCAAGTTGACTATACATATATATATAATCTACCCCTGCTCCTTTTATTACAATTAGAAAATCTATGAATTAAGATCGATTTTTTGATAGTAACTCCACACAATGAATGTCAAAAATTGATTATTTTCCACAGATTTTGTATCGAGATAGGATATTGCAATTGACAGGTAGACCACGTCTGTGAGTCACATTTGGGTACTTTCCTTAATCGAAAATAAAATAATGATTTCGACTGTTCAATACAATAAAATATTAAAAATTTTATATTATATATTATAAATAATATATTAAAAAATAATCACACTTTCATTCATTGATTTTATGACCAACTTCATTTTAGTAATTTTCAGTAGATAAATAAAAAAAAATAAGTATGATGTTTGACGCTAAAAAACGTGACGTCACAATACACAGTCTCGTACAAAATTCATAGAAAACTGTCGTTTTTGACAGTTCGAAAAAGGTTGATGAAACTATGAAGTGTTTATGAACTAACAAAAACCACAAACAAAATGCAACCGTATCCACTACAACTCGTCGCGGAGAACCTAACGGGTAACCGGGGCTCCGACTCGACGTGCAGGAGAAGGAACGGGGTGGTTTTTAGTCAGTAAGAGTCTGACACTCCCTCCCGCCTCACCCAGGCGGGAGCAGTCATTCGATGATTTTTCCCCCTTAAAAAAAAAATCCACTACAACTCACCGCAACAATTTGCGTATCCTCCGTCCACCCTGGGTACCCAAACTTCGCCTTCGGCACCGGTCGCTTCGGCTTCTGCAGAAACGTCGTCCACTTCTTCTCCTCCTTCTTTTTCTCTTCCTGTCTCTGCCTCTCTAGTTCTTCATTTAATGCTTTCAATACTTCTGAGTCTTTTAAGGAGTTGATCATTGGCTTGATTTTCTGGAAATCGACGCTGTCATCGTCCGCACGATGCATATGTGAGGATAGTACTCGAGACAGCCTGTTTTCAACCATTTTGGGAGATTTTGTGTTATTATTGGTGTTCGTTTTGTTGTAGATGTTGGTTCGGATGGATGGTAAGATGATTCAGGAGAAGATGGATGGATGGATGAAATGGGAAACATGGGACAGTGTAATGAATGAAGGAGCATAAAAGAAGTATTCCATATCATCTGCTAATGAGTATGTAGAGGATGTCTTAAATGTAGCAGGTGCCTATTGATAATGGAAAAAAGTTAGGTTGTACCTCAAGCCGCTTGAGATAAGGACAGACAGAAGAAAAGAAAAGGAGAGAATGAAAAAGTTCCTCGTACTTAGAATGGATTTCGATAAGAATATATTTTTTTAGAGTTTATCGTAGATTATCGCAAATTAAAATTAATATTATTATTTTGTTATATTGTGATGTTTTGATATATTGTCTGTTCTAATCTCTATTCTTGTAAGTTTATTATTAGTATTTTGTTTACATATGTATTTTTATTTTTTTATATTCTTGTTTTCTGTGCGTGTAATTGTCAAATAAATGTTTTTTTCTTTCTTCTTTCTTTCTTTCTAGATAGGATAGATGACTAATTTTTATTTCAATGTCCGTCTGGTAGATTATTTAAAAACATTAGACACGTATTTTTTATTTTCCTACGGACACAGATACTTTCGACGATATATTGATTTGAAATATAGGGTGACGTCACCTTTGTGTACCTACGTTTTATACTCAAAAGTGACATAGTTAGCTCCCACTCCTAAACTTTCATTCTTTGTTTTATTATGCGACAAAATAAAAAAAAATACGTGTCTAATATTTTTAATTACCTAACTGACGGACTAATTAGATTTTTAATTTTCGTACCCTGTCATCATCCCTATTCTGAAGACTTAAAAGGATGGATGGATTGAAGAATGATTTGAAAGAAATTGATTTAGCAGTGATGAGATACACATGTGTGTGATGGCAAATATGTAAACTAGTACGTATGAAGAATGTAATGTGTGACAATTTACATAAAATGGTTGAAAACGTGCCATGAAGATTTTTGTGATACTTATTTATTACACTCTAGCTTCTGATAGCGGCTTTGCCCGCGTTCCCGTGGGATAAAAAGTAGCCACAATTTTTCGATCACTTTGACTAGATTTTAGTGTTACATTGTTCTCGCACAATCCAAACAACAAAACTATGTAACTAGAGAATTGATTGTAAACCTGATTGTAAAAGAGTAACCTATGGAGTTTCTTGCTCGTTCTTCTCCATAGGAATGAGCAAATAGCTTCACTATTAATTTTATTGTTGACGTTCAAAAGTGCTTTTCTGGTCTAACTGAAATAAATAATTTTGACTTTTGACTTGAACCTATGTGTTTTTCCGGACTATAATCTACCCCTGTTCCAAATTTCATCTTGATCCCTTCAGCCGTTTTGAAGTGAACGGGCAACAAACAAACATACTATCACATCATCATCATCATAGTGCATCATAATTGGGTACTTGCCTATAAAAACTAAATTATGTCGACTGTTCAATACAATATGACTGCATGGTTGGTGCGGTAACTAGCTGCCGTGCAACGTGTCGCGGGCTCGATTCCCGCATGAGACAACACCTTTTGTGATCCACAAATTGATGTTTCGAATCTCGGTGTCATTGTGTATGTGAACTTGTATGTTTGTAAACGCACCCAGGACACAGGAGAAAATCCCAGTGTGGGGCAACGTTTTTTTTTAAATTAATAAATAATATATTAAAAAATAATCACACTTTCATTAATTGATTTTATGGCCAACTTAATTTTAGTATTGTTCCAGCAAATTTTTAAGAAATAAGTATACTGTTTGACGGTAAAAAAACGTGACGTCACAATACACAATCTCGTACAAAATTCATAGAAAACTGTCGTTTTTGACAGTTCGCAAAAAAGTATCGAATTTGACTAGTTGGCAAGTACCCGATTTGTGCAGTCCCAAATATAAGCCTTAAAATGCTAACTTTATTCTGCTAGGCTAACTTATAACAACGAGTATTTAAAAATGTTCGATGAACATGCTAGTGGTTGAAGTCGATTTATAAATATGAAATATAATAATCAAACTTAGCTTACCCCATCACGTGGGCTTCCCTAAGCATCTCTGCTTCCCCTGATATTAGTGTAGCTATCTTTTCTTCAGAAATACCCGGTTTGCCAAGCTCTTCTGCAAAATTTTGAAACATGTTAATAACTGCCTCGTTTGCTGAGTGGTCGCAACTCCTAAGTGCGACTCTTAGGCAAGGGGTCTCGGGTTCGATTCCCGGGTCGTGCAAAGTATTACTAGGTTTTAAAAAATCCTCAGTAGTAGTACGGAGTTTGGAACTGTGCCCAGTATATGGTAATAGGCTCACCCCCTATTACATGGGACTCATAACATAAATAGTGAAAAGTGGGTGTTACATTGTATAGTGGCATTAAGTGCCCTAATGTGCACCTCTGCCTACCCTTCGAAATAAAAGACATGATGTTATGTTATGTAATGGTCTGATAAGTAGGTAAAAACAAAAGAAGAAGAGAAGTATGAGAAGATGGATTTAGAAGTTAAACTTACTAGCGAGCTCTTCATCCATCACCGGTTCTTCTAGCCCATCGACTATTCCTTGTATAGTGCCTATTAGTTCTCCGGTCTCAGTTATATATGGAGACTGCCTTGGTTCAGAAGTACCCATAGGTTCCTATTGAGAAAAATGAATATTTTTTATGGTTTTATGCTCAAAACAATTCAACTCAAAACAACAACAAAGGCTGCCTCGTTGGCCAAGTGGTCGCAAGTGCGACTGCCAGGCAAGGGGTATCGGGTTCGATTCCCGGGTCGGATAAAGTATTACTGGAGTTTAAAAAAAATCTCAGTACGGAGTCTGGAATTGTGCCCGGTATATGGCAATATGCTCACCCCCTATTACATGGGACTCATAACATAAATAGTGGAAAGTGGGTGTTACTTCTGTGTGCACCTCTGCCTACCTCTTCGGGGATAAAAGGCGTGATGTTGTGTACAATTTAGAGCATTAAAATATGACCACAGAAATTTTTACGCCTGAGTACTAAAAGGGTACTCAATTTTAAATTGTACTTAAATATCGTGCCACCTCAGTCATTATACATAGAATTTATAGTGACAAAACTATCCTTTTTTTGTTTCTTTTAATCGAAATGATTATCTAATCATCAAATGGTGTGCGTTACCCAGGCAAAATGTTTTGCTTTAGAGAGATGAGACTTAAACAAATAATTAGTGTATCATGAGGAGCAATTTGTTTACTAATAGCAAAATTTGTTTGAATTGTAGTTTTTAAGTTATTTGAGAAAAACAAATTTTGCTGGAGTAACGTTTGAAACGTTACCCAGGCAAAATAGTCTTTCAAAAATTAGTTTCAGCACGGAACCAAATACATGAATAGATAGCTTTTGTTGCGTAGTAAATGTTTATAAATAGCAAAATTTGTGTGTGGTATAGTTCTTTAGTTATTTAAGATTTTGCTGCGGTAACGTTTTGGGATTTCCCAGATCTCGAAAACGGCTCAACGCAGAAGTTTGAAAAAAATACCAATAAAAGACCTCAATTTGTTTAAATTTGTTTAATCATTAGTTTTTGATTTGGTTGACGTAAACCAATGTAATTAAATGGTTTCAAAAATCAGAAGAAACGGGTTTGCAAGTAAACCAATACACTTATAACCAAATAAACAGCTGTAAAAAATACCCGTGGTTCGACGCTTGTTTACATCAGAAATATTAGATTTCATACTTTACACATTAAGAAGATAAAAACAAATTTGATTTATTTTAGACTGGTCGTACTTTAGCGATCAAATACGCAGTTCCCATAACATTAAGAAACATGGCATACTTTAAACAAATTAAAATGATTCATGAAAATTCCTTCCTGTTAATTTCAGCCTTGAATTACGGCTCTAATGAAAGTTATCTCAAAAACAAGAATATGTCAGCAATTCTCTAATAAGCCGACCAAATTGAAAAGGTCACGTAAAAGCGACTGCACCGTACGTACGGGTAATCTTCGCAAATTAGCAGCTTGGTAACCGATGTTTTGTACAGTTAAGCAGAAAAACGTTATTCGTGAAGCCGATTTTTTAATATTTTTTAAGTGCAGTACCATATTACACAATTTTTACTAGTTAATGCCAATTAAAATGCCATACTGTGAGTCGAGGTGAAATGGAGTCCACCTATCAACCTACGTTATTAGTACCTCCTAAGGAAAATTGTACAAACTATTAATGTATCCAAATATTAAAATTAAGTAAGTAGGTTATAACTTATCTGTGATTTTTCTCTAAAAATGTTGATGCTAAGGCAAAGCAATACATATAATTTGTATGAGACTGATTTTTTAAATAAAAATAATGAATCTTAACCATTTTATTATTTTAACTAACCTGACCAGAAAACTTTTGTATTCAACTGTACTAACAAAACATCTATATTATCCTGTTCATTTCAGATGGTTGCGCTTATGTATGGTGCGGTCGCTTTTATGTGACCTTTTCAATTTGGTCGGCTCATTAGAGAATTGCTGACATAATCTTGTTTTTGAGATAACTTTCATTAGAGCCGTAATTCAAAGCTGCAATTAACAGGAAGGAATTTTCAGGAATCATTTTAATTTGTTTAAAGTATGCCATGTTTCTTAATGTTATGGGAACTGCGTATTTGATCGCTAAAGTACGACCAGTCTAAAATAAATCAAATTTGTTTTTATCTTCTTAATGTGTAAAGTATGAAATCTAATATTTCTGATGTAAACAAGCGTCGAACCACGGGTATTTTTTACAGCTGTTTATTTGGTTATAAGTGTATTGGTTTACTTGCAAACCCGTTTCTTCTGATTTTTGAAACCATTTAATTACATTGGTTTACGTCAACCAAATCAAAAACTAATGATTAAACAAATTTAAACAAATTGAGGTCTTTTATTGGTATTTTTTTCAAACTTCTGCGTTGAGCCGTTTTCGAGATCTGGGAAATCCCAAAACGTTACCGCAGCAAAATCTTAAATAACTAAAGAACTATACCACACACAAATTTTGCTATTTATAAACATTTACTACGCAACAAAAGCTATCTATTCATGTATTTGGTTCCGTGCTGAAACTAATTTTTGAAAGACTATTTTGCCTGGGTAACGTTTCAAACGTTACTCCAGCAAAATTTGTTTTTCTCAAATAACTTAAAAACTACAATTCAAACAAATTTTGCTATTAGTAAACAAATTGCTCCTCATGATACACTAATTATTTGTTTAAGTCTCATCTCTCTAAAGCAAAACATTTTGCCTGGGTAACGCACACCATCAAATGACTTCTCCTGCCTAGGTGAGGCGAGAGGTAGTGTCAGACTCTTACTGACTAAAAACCACCCCGATTCTGCACTTCAAGCCGGAGCCCCGGTAACCTTTTATGTTCTCCGCGGCTTTTCAGCGGCTCGCGGCGTTCAAGCTATACTAGAGGCTCATATTCATGAGCAGCATACCGCAACACATGAAGCAGCGGCTGTCGCGCTCCAACTGGCAACTCAAGACTACCGTAATGACAGTCGCCGCGTCGTGTAATTTTTTACTCATTAAATTCTTAAACTGCGACGACGGCGACTGCCTCGTTGGCCGAGTGGTCGCAAGTGCGACTGCCGGGCAAGGGGTATCGGGTTCGATTCCCGGGTAGGGCAAAGCATTACTGGGATTTAAAAAAAAAATCTCAGTAGTAGCACAGAGTCTGGAAATGTGCCCGGTATATGGCAATAGGCTCACCCCTATTACATGGAACTTATAACATAAATAGTGAAAAGTGGGTGTTACATTGTACAGTGGCATAATGTGCACCTCTGCCTATTCCTTCGGGGATGAAAGGCGTGTTGGTATGTAATGTATGTAAATTCTTAAACTACAACTATAATGCACTCATATATAAAATTACCTGTATAGGCATAAAATCTTGTCCTCGCCGCTGAATATTTTCTGGATCGAAGACTACCGGCCTAACCCGTGTTAGAGGATCTATCTTCTCTTCTACCACCTCAGTAGACTCTGTTTTCAATTCTACTGCTGTAAACTCTGGTTTCAATTCTTCTTTCATCTCTGTTTTGTCTGCTACAACACTTGTATCTTCTTTTAAAGTGTCAACCGCTGAAGATTCTTTCTCTTTTACTATTACAGTAGATGTTTCTACAACTTCAGTGTCTGCTTTCGCATTTTCTTCTTTATAATCATGAGCATGAGTTTCAATTTCAACTATATCGACTTTGATAGTATCTTCTTTATTGTTCTCTTTTGGGCTTTGAGATTCAATTTCAATACTTATTCTTCTTGTTTTGGTTTCTTCAATTTCAGTAACAATTCCCTCATTTTCAGGATTATCTGAGTCTGTTTTGTTTTCAACAGTCATTGTGTTGCATTGTTCTAGCATTTCTTCTATCTTAGTATCTAAGTCATCAAAGCCGTTTTTAATTATTTCTTCTGATGTGTAAGATTCTTTATAGCTCTTTGAAATCTTTTCTTCTTTGAATTCTTGGACTTTAACCTCCTTTTTTACTTCTTTTTTCGTCTCAATTCCTACTTCTTCTTTGTATTCTTCTATGCTTTTTATGGTCTCGTCTATCGCTGATGCTAGTAGAGAGGATTTGCGCTCGATCTCTCTTATTTCTTCCTGTGAAATATATATATATATATATATATATTTTTAGTATTTAGAAGTATATTTAAGCAGAATAATTATCGAGTTATATAAAAATTAATTCTTCACAAGTTATTATAAAATTATTGTATGGAAAATTACTTGACAGTGGTTTTATACGTACACAATGTCACAGCTGAAAAAAATTAATATAAATAATACAAAAATGTTGAGTTGTTAACCAAATGTTTGAGTGTTGAATATAAAAATAAAACAAGATGGAGTCGATATAATTGACATATTGGACAAACGTTAATCGTCTAAGGCTCAATACCTGTGCAAAGATGAGTACAGTACTCGCTTTTGAAATTCTCAAAACCAACTGGAAGCTTCAAAATTATGCGAATTAATACCTTATCTACCAAAAAATGTACGGCGTGTGAATAATATCATTATTTATAATCTACTAGCTTTTACCCGCGGCTCCGCTCGCGTCACAAAAGGATAAAAGTAGCCTAAGTGACATATACCATTACGCACAGCGCCATCTATACCAATAATTTCGTTTTCCCTCGACAATATCAATTTTTTAAGAGATAAAAAGTACCCTATTATTTAATCCAGACTTCTAACTTTACAGTACTTCTGTAGTTACGGCGTGAAAGTGAAACAAACAAACAAACTCACTTTCCGATTTATAATACTATATTAGTAAGGATAAGGATAATTCCTACAATGGAAAATGTGATGACACACAAAAACCAATGACCAAATCTTAGTCCATCAAAGCAACATACCTTCGAAAAATCTGGATTATCACCTCCGCCATACAACCCTGGTTTCCTATACACTGGAAACCTAATCCTCCCAGCACCCCCCTTCAACCCTGGCTTCGAATAAACCGGACGAACTTTACCCCCACCGTTCAAAACTGGTTTTGAAAATACAGGAGACTTAGGCTCTTCAGTGGGAGTAGGCAAAGGATGGTCATACACAACCCTTTCTATAGTGGTTTCTATGTGTGGAACTAAATTCTTTTTAACTATATGTGGATCTTCTTCTTCTGGACTTAGAGTACTATCTCTTGGAACAGGGGTAGCACTCCTGCTTTTTGGTAATGGCAGCGAAAGCTTAAACACATATTCGTCTGTTAAAGGAGTTGGAGGGACTGTGGAGGGCGTCGGAGTGTCTATAGTACTTGGAGGAGTTGGTATAGATGATGATGATAATGTTCTTTGCATATCAGTTTTCAAAGAAAGCTTTTTGTCAATTGATTTGGCTGTGAACGATGCTTCTTGGGACACCTCCTGTGTTGATGCTATCTCTTCTTTTATAGCCGTTTTACTTAAAGATTCTTCTTTGATCTGCGATATATCTGCTATAGATTCTCTCTTTTCAGTTTTGCCAATGTGAGTGCTTATTGAAGATGTTTCGGAAATTTCTTTAGAGGCATCTATAGCTATAGCATTTCCTACTCCTACAGCGCTTACAGTGGATTTGGCTATTAATTCTGATATGTCTTCAACTTCGATTATTTCTGGTGATAGTACACTGTCTACTGGGACTATTTTAACTATTTTTAACGCAGCATATTCGTCGTGCTCAGTTTTCTCTTTCTTAGGTGTAAGTTTAATCGTTTCTGTTATTTCAACCGTTTCTATAGGCTTCGGTTCGTGTACTTCAGGCTCTATTGTGACGACTTTCTCATCAAATTTCACTTCTTCTATTTTGACATCTTCTTTCTTTACTTCAGCGGCAACAAACTCTGATTTAGTTTCCATAACACTGATTTCAGTTGATTCAGCAACTGATAGCGATTCATTGATATCTACGGATACTTTTTCAACCTTTTCCACGCTTTCTTTAATTTCAACTACTGGTTCAATGACCTCTTTGATTTCTTGGACCACTACTTCTTGCACATCAGTTGTTTGTATTGCAGATTTGTGTTCAAACTCTTCATGAATGAATTCTTTAGTATCATGAACCACTTCTTCAATCTTTTGTACCGTCGCAGCGCTTTTAGCGGTCACAGTTGCTAGTTCATGAGTTTCTTCAACGACTTTAGCGGTTTCCAATTCTCTTAAAGCGCTTTCTATCGCTACGTTTTCAGTGCTTATCGTCTCGATAGCTTCGATAGCAGTATTAATCTCTTCAGCGCTTTGTACTGATGAAGTTTCTGAGAAATCGGTCACATGTTCTTCAAATATGGCGTCTTTATTAGTATATACGTGAGATTCTACAATGGCTATGTATGTTTGTTTAGGAGATTTAGACTTTCTAAATGTTCTTTCTTCTTTCGTCTCAATTACGCTCTTCTTTGCTTCAGTAGACATAAATTCCTTTTTAGATATCTCGGTTCGTTCTTGAGATGTTCTTCTGCTGTCTACTTTAGACAGCCATTCTAGAGGATCGCTTTCTTTCATAACTTCTTCTTCGATTTGACTCCTGCTTCTAGATCTTCTGCTCTTTTGGAACATTTCTTTTTTATCTTCTTCTACGGCGATGGTTTGGAATTCAGAAATTACTGCGTTCATCTTTTGAGTCATCTCCGGTGTTAGTTTCTTTTCAGAACGCTGTGCCATTTCGGCTCCTGTTGAAATCTTTTCAATCTTCTGTTCCTGTTTTTGTTCTACTTTCTCTACTTTCACTTTGTTTACTTCTTTAACAGGCACAGGCTTGATAATCTCCGTCTTTTCAATTTTCTTCTCTTGTGACTCAATCTTCATATCTTTTTCAATCTTCTGCGTCACAGATTTAACTTCTTTCTTCTCCACAACTGGTACTGGAGTCACCAATTGCCTTCTGTCCTGTCTTTTTTCAACTACTTTTGCTTCTTCTGCTCTTTCTACCTTCTGTACTTGAGAAGACTTTTGAACAACATCTGCACTTTCATAGCTGCGTTTTTCAGTATACGATTGGTCTAGTTGATTGAATATTGGCTGTGATAGAAGGAACCTGGATAAAGCTACCATCACATCAGTAAGATGGATAAAGAACGTTTGCAAAAGTAAATTGTAATGGTAAGAAGAGTGTACAGTACCTCTAATATTGGGTATAGTTTGCAAACCTATAGTATAAGCTCTCTGTTCTGCACTACTCTTCTCCGATTTCACACCAGAAGCGACTGATTTTGCTATCTTTTTGAATTTGGCCTTACTTTCAGAAGACTCTTGGACAGAAGACTCCTGTCTGCTCGGCTCTTCTGTGTACTCTTGTTGGTACTCCTCTGTTATAAGAGATTTTCTGTGCACATCCATTTTGCTATCTTCTGTAGATATTGTTTCAGATTGTTCAGTTGCTTTAACATCTTTCCTAGACATCTTTCTGCTGTTTTCTTCTTCGTTTATAATCCTTTCTTGTTTACTCATCCTTCTTTCAGCATATTCAGATGTTTCAGTCTTGTCAATTACTTCAGAAGATTGTTCTGACATTTCATATTTTGAAATGTCTTTTTTCTCGGTTTCTGAAATTATTTTTTCCGATTTCTCAGTAGACATGAGTTCTTCATCGATTTCTTTCTTGATTTCCTCGGCCACTGATACAGCTCTTTCAATGCTATCATCCACAACTAACATGGCAGTTTCTTCTATTTTCTCAACATCTATTTCTTGCCTCATCTTCTCTATATACTGCAATTCTTCTCTTAAAGACTGTTCCTCAATTTCTTCTCTACTCATCTCTTTCTTTTCCACAGTTTTAGAGTCAATTCTAACTCGATCTTCCGAAATTCCTTCTTCAATCTTAACTGATTTCTTTTTAACATCTTCGGAAGCACTTTCTTTGACGGCCACATCTTTAGTTGCTTTCAAATCTTTAATACTACCCTCACATACTCTGGTTTCTTTGGTCACATCAACAACTTCTAAATCTTTACTCAAACTCTTAACATGTTTCTCATATTTCAGCAACTTTTCAACGACTTCAACGTTTTGTTTAAATCTCGTTCCATCTGGATCATACTGTTCGGAAATCGGCAACTTATATCTGCTTTCACCCAACACATTACCAAACGAATTAAGCAGGTATTCAGGGTCATTATCATTAGGAGTGCGCCCAAAATTATCTCTATAATCAGGATTTAGGATTATAGGGTCTTCTAGAGGTGGAACTTCAGGGACAGGTTCAGTAGAAAACGGTCTATAAGGCTTTGTGGGGGTCACAAAAGGGGAAGAAGTCAAGGATCTGGATTCTAAGTCAGATCTTGGATCTAGGTCATGGCTACCGATGTCAGAAGGGTCTACAAATTGTTGTATCTGGAAGACTACCTCAGTCGGTTCTGATTGTAGGCCTAAATCTTCCGGTTCGTAGTACAACGGCTCCGAGTCGTCTAGGACCGGATCGTAAAGGCCGCTGTAACAAGAGAAAAATGATCTTATTATCACATAGTGTTAGATATTTTGTTGACCTTGACATAGTTTCGATAAAAATTTGAAGTGTTCCAAAGAAAAAAAATCAATTGGAGAACGGTCACCAATGACTGTTTTGGGACTCGCTAGTATACTTATTTACTAACATTTTCAATAGCATTGTTGTGTCTATAGTATCTTGATATGACTATAGACAATAAAGTGACCTCACTCAAACTCTCGCCACTCATTTTCAACTCACTTCACTTTGCACTCACTGACAGACTGACAATTTCTATTTTGACGTTACACAAGTGTCTTTAATAAAAATTGAAATAATTGCCTTGATTTCAAACTATTTTTCACACGTATTATTAGGTACGTTTGAAAGTCAACGTAGACGTATAATTTTGAAATCTGTAACACTATCAAAAAATCATTGGCATTGAGTAACTTTGACTTTGAACACAACAAATTTTGGCACTCAAATTTTGATTGAGCAACTAAACGTCAAACACTTTTTGCACTCAAATTTTGATTAAAGAACTAAACGTCAGAAACTTTTTGCGCTCAAATTTTGATGTTTAAAACTAAAAATATGATTTTGGAAACATAAAGCGTAAATATCACTGTTAAGAAATTCAATAATTATGATACCAATTATATTACTGAGATACTTATCAATCAAAATAAATGAGTTTTTAACTCAGTTTTATTACGTCGACGTGTAACGAACTATGTAATAAAATCTAAGAATCTGAATTACACACACTTGTACTGGTTGTATCGTCATAAGAAATTTAAACAGTTTCAAAATCAAATATGTCTGAACTGAAATAGTCAACGCGACATCAGATACTAATCTAGAAATATTAAGCAATGATACTCTGAACGAAGATAAAAATAACCTAGAAATTGGCTAGTTAAACTATCGTAGTAGTCCGGAGGTATAACACGCCCGATTCTCATGCATGAGTGTGAGGGTTCGAAACCTACCAGCGGCAAGTACCAATGTGACTTTTTCCGAGTTATATGTACTTTCTAATATTATCTAGACACCACTGACAAACGGTGAAGGAAAACATCGTGAGGAAACCTGGAGTTATTTCTAATTATACATTTGTAATCGCCAACTCGGATGAGCAAGCGTGGTAATTAATGCTCAATTGTCTCCGTGTGAGAAGAGGTTTTGCTCAGCAGCGGGCATTTATAGGCTGTTGACGATGATGAAACTGTTGTGACAGTCGAGTAGTTATAAATACCACTGTCATTATAGGTCTCAGGCTTAAATGGTCTGGGACTGGGATGCCGTCTCCTCCTTCTGCGAAGCAGTCATGCTAGCTAAGGAGGAGGCGGGGCGCGTGAGGGAACGAACCTCCTCACGCCCCAGTCATCGCAAGAGACATTCCAGGCGTCGGAGTTCGCGAGACGATCTCCGGCCACCGTAAGTACGGGCCTGCGGACGGTGAGCATGGGTGATTCGCTGCCTGACCAGAACCAGGCCCGAACGTACGGTGCGTCGCGTTCCGAGCTATCAGACCACCACAGATGGGGCCCAACGGGGCTGATGCTGAGACGGAGCCGTGGAAGACTTAACGGGTCGCCGGGGCTCTGGCTCGAAGTGCAAGAGTAGGAACGGGATAGTTTTTAGTTAGTAAGAGTCTGACACTCCCTCTCGCCTCATCCGCGTGGGAGAAGTAAATTGTCTCTTAAAGTTTAGCTTTTTTTAATATTTCGCCTAGTGGTGCACGATGATGTGGTCTACGATAGAGCACGTCTACATAACCGACCTATTCACTCGGGCCTTGAAACCTAGGCTACAGTCTTTCTATCTTTATATTGTA